ATAAATTCTACTTGTTACTTATTATTACTCTAATAACTTAATAAATATACTATTACTTTTATAAACAGTTTTTAATTTAATACTCTAACTTTTTATAAGTAAAATATACTTTTTACTTTTAAACTTTTTTAATGTTTATTAAAATAAATTAATTATAAATTATAAACAGATTAATTTAAGAGTTTAAAACTGTTAGAGTTAAACATATATATAAATACTTTATATAAACTTAATATATTTAAGTTATAATTTAGTTAAAGAAAATAGTATATATTTTTTATTTAGTATAAATAATTAGTTTTAATATTATTCTAAGAATCTTATTAACTAGTTTTAAGTAAAGAGCTTTTTTAAATATTCTAATAAGAATATTTTTTAACTTAAGTATAAATTCTATCTTTTAAACTAAAATATTAAACTTTTAAAAGAAAGTATTAATAAAATGTTTACTTTATTATAAAAATACAAACTTGTTTTATATATTATACTTTTTATTTAAATTAATAAAGAAAGTACAAAATTACTTTATAAATTCTAAATATAACTTATTATTCTAAAGTTAGATTAAGTTTCTAATCTAATAGTTTTTAATTTAGTTTTAAGTTTAAGTAACTATATTACCTTTCTTTATAAAGGAAAGAATAAATAAAATACAATTAAGATTTAAGAATAAATTAGTTAAAATAATAGTTATATATAGTTTGACTTAATACTAAAAGTTCTTAAAGTACTATTTATTAAAGTTTAAAGAGTAAACTATATATATTTTCTTTCTAAAACAGATTACAATTTTTAAAACAATTAAAACAGATTTTAAAAAGGTTAAAAGTATATAATTAGTAAAAGTCTCTTAAATAAAGGTTTATATATATTAAGCTAACTCTACTTATAATTACTAATCTAGTAAGATAGTAAGAGTAATAGTTAGTATAAGAGAGTTTATATTTATACTATAAAAGAATTAGTATTAAACTAAAAAGAGTAATAATTAAAAGAAGAGTAGTAAAAGTTTAAAAAAGTTTAGAAAGTTTAAAATTTAAAAATATAAAAGAGTTAAAACAAAAAAAGAGATTAACATAATAGTAAATACTAATACTTAAAATGTAAGAGAGTTATAAAGTAGTAATAAGTAGTTTTAATTTAATGTTAGTAATAGTATAAAGAGGACTTAAAAGTTTAGTAAGAGAACTTAGGTTATAACTATTTTATATAATAAAAATATAAAACATAAGTATTAAAATATAGTTAGAACTTGTAAAACAGGTAGAGAGAAAGAGTAAAATAAGAGTAAAGTATATAGAGTAAGTTTAAGAGTAAAAAACTATTTAGAGTAAATAAGATTAAAATTATAAAACTAGTTTAATTTTATATACTTATATATACTAAATTATATAAGAGTACTTAGAGAGTATAAACTATTAAGAATAATAAACTATAAAGAATAAAAGAAAGGAATGTTAAAAATAAAAATATAAAGAATAAAAGAGTAATTAAAGGAATAGAATAAAAAATAAAAGAGTAGTTAAAGAAATAGAATAATAAAGTAAGAAAGAGTAGTAGTAAGAGTTAACACATATATAGTTTATAAACAGTACTTTTAAAGTATAGAAGTTCTGAGTTCTAGTATAAAAGAGTGTAAAACTCTTAAAACTAAAAGTAAGAGAGTAGAAAACTATAATATATATAATATTTTAACAAATACAAGAGTTACAACTTTATAACTTTGTAAAATTATACTATTATATAATACCTTCTAATATGTTCTAGTATTATATAAAACAACTAACATATAGTAAAAATATATAGACTCTAATATTTGTACTATACTCTTAATAACAATTTACCTCCTTATTTTAAACCTTTTATATTTTATAATAATTTAATACTAATCTACACTTATTTAAAAAAGTTACTCTTATATTAATAACTTTTATAGTTATATAAATATAAGACTATAAAATTATGTATATAAAGTATAGTATAACTTTCTTTATATATATTATATAGACTTAATTCTTAAATATACTATAAATATATAAGCTTTACTATTATTATAATATTAAGAGTTTAGAGTATTATAAATCTTAGTTAGAGGAAACTGTTATATTTTTTATTATTAAATAGTATACAAATACATAAGTAATTAACACATTTAATATTGTATTTGTGTTATAAATGAGTTTTAACTAAATTTACATTAATTTTAAAGGAATAATAAAGAAATTTAATTAAAAATTAAGTAAAATATAGAGGAAAGTGTATACTTACTATATAAGACAGTAAACTCAAAGTATAATAAGTAGGAAGAGTATAGTTACTATATAAAGTACTTAGTATACTTATTTTATTTTATTTTATTTTGACTTAGAATTTTTATTATTATTTAAGTTTAGTATTAAATATAGTTAGAAAGAAAAGTTTAAAAGATACTTAATTAGAGAGACTATAAGAGTTTTGTACACTCTCTAATTAGACCTCTTATAGTATGTTTTTTAAATACTAAAACTTATTAGTTTTAAACTAAAATATAAAGTAGAGTATATAATAAATACTAAGTTAGTATATAAAAAGCTTAAGTTCTTTATTTATTAGAAAGAGTACTTAGTTAAAAAATATACTTAAGAACTTGTTAAGAATCTTACTTATACTACTAAAATAATTTAAGACTTTTATTAACTTTATTTAAGTATTTTATACTAACTCTATTTTATAAATTTTTAAACTCTACTATTCTAACTTATATTTAAACTATTAACTAAGTCTAATGTTTACTAATTAGAATAAATAGTTTTAAAGAGAGAGTAATATTATAGTTCTCTACTTTTATACTTTTAGTTTTAAGAGTTTTATACTTTTTTATACTAGAACTTAAAACTTTTATCTTTTAAAAGTACTATTTATAAACTATATATAAACTAACTCTTACTACTACTCTTTCTTACTTTATTATTCTGTTTCTTTAATTACTTCTTTATTCTTTATACTTTTCTCTTTAACCTTCTTTTCTTTTATTCTTTATAACTTATTATTCTTAATAACTTATATTTTCTAAATACTCTTATATAGTTTAGTATATATAAGTATATAAGATTAAACTAGTTTAATAGTTTTAATCTTATTTACTCTAAATAGTTTTATACTCTTAAACTTACTCTATATATTCTACTCTTATTTTACTCTTTCTCTCTATTTATTTTATAAGTTCTAACTATATTCTAATACTTATATTCTATATTTCTATTATATAAGATAATTATAGTTTAGATTCCTTTACTAAACCTTTAAGTTCTCTTTATACTATTACTAATAATAAACTTATACATATATAAATAAAGAACTTACCTTTATTATAGTTAAGAATATAAACTAATATAATAAAGGTAAAAAATACTAACTATATATATTAAGAAAATAGTTTATACTTAAAGGGGAAAATAAAAGAGGGAATAAAAGGGTAATATAATATATACTTAAAAAGAAAGACAAAAGGAGATAGTATATATTTAGAAATGTAGAAAAAGTAGTTATAATAAAAAGAAGACTTAATACAAGTATAAAAGAGAAAATATATAACTTAGTAAACTATTATAAGAATTTATATATAAGAAACACAGTTCTATACTAGAACAAATGTAAAACTGTATAGAAACTGTTGTAAGCTGTTAAATAGGCTTATATATTTAATTATAAGTTAAATACATTAAATACAACTTTTTAACTTATTAATTTATAAATTTAATAAAATATTTATTTTTTAATTTTTATAAATTATAAAACTAACATTTTATAGATAAAATGTTATAGTTTTTAATTATTATTTTATTTTATTTTACAGAAGTTATAGTAAATAATAATAGAGGAAATATTCAAATTAACTAGTTAGAGTATTTTAACAGTATATTAATTTTTTTACAGTACTTAATAGTTTAGAAGAATTCAGGCATATAGTATTGTCTATATAATCATTATATACATAATTTTTTTTAGTAAATTTTTAATGTAGAAAGAAATACAAGGGAAAACTAAATTAGTGTTTAAAGGAACAACCTTTACTTATATGTGTATAGTATGCAATCGTGGGAGATCATTATCATTAGGACAGTGCGTGCCAACTTTTTTGTCGTTGTTGTGATCGACTTGCACTCGACGCTCTCTACACTCCTCCGTTGCCTCGCCTCGCCATGGATGCGTCCCTCAACGTCCCTCAGCACGTCTCCGACGAGCTCACCCAGATCCTCGCCAATCTCGTCCTCGGCGACAATGAAATCCGTTCAAAGTATGTCTCCGCTTGGCTGCAATTCTGCTGCCATGTACTTACTAGTGCTGCCTCTCAGTGCAGAGAAGGTTGTTGATGAAAGGCTTGCACAGACGCCAGAGCTGTACATTCTCGCTCTGGCCAACTTCACGACAACGGCCCCGGATGAGCAGATGCGCGCCTTTGCTCTCATTCTCCTCCGTCGCTTGCTCTTTCGCCCACCTCAGTCTCTTCCGAACACTCATCCTTCATCTCCCAGCGCTTCCTCGTCTTCTGGCCCAGCTGGCCCACGCCTCACCCTCTATGATCACCTCTCAGAGCAAACGCGCGACGCCTTGGAGCGTACTGCGTTGCATGCGCTAATCACAGAGCAGACCCACAATGTCAAAACCAAGGCTGCAGATACTGTCACCGATCTCGCAAATGCCTCCTTTCAACGAGGACGCCCGTGGCCAGCTCTTCAAGGAACCGTCTTTCGGGCTATCGGAGGTACTCCAAGTGCAAAAGAATGTGCATACAGGATATTGGAGCGATGTCAGGTCCTTGCAGCAGATGTACCGTCGGAAATATTTGTTCGTGGCTTAGCGGATAGTTCTGTCGAGGTGAGCAATAGTTCGGGCTAGTATATGCTATCGATCTGTGACCGACTTATCATGACGATTGTCCTACAAGGTTCGTTTGGCTGCGCTCAAGGCAACTATCGCTTCTCTTAGCTTGGCTTCGCCACTGTCTCCGTCGACAGCTCACACAACACTGCTGGGGCGTGCACTTGCGACTCTCCCCGCAGCCCCGCCGAGTCACACAACAAGGTTCCTAAACGCGCTCACTCCGCTGGCCGGGACACATCCAACTCTCTTCGCTCCCCACCTTAACGACCTCCTTCGCTTTCTGCCCGGAATCATCCTCAACAAAAAGGAATATGATGCCGGCCCGACGCCTACCGTTGCGCGACCATTTCCGAATGGTAATGGCGGGGCTAGTAGTGTTTTCCAGTTCCCGCCAGCATCCAAGCAGGCTGATGACCATTCGGATGATGACGAGGATGAAGAAAGGGAGGAAACACGGCGTGCAGCGCTTGAATTGATGGTGTCGCTAAGCGAAGCGCGTCCATCACTCGCAAGGCGCATTGACGGCTGGCTTCCCGCGCTCGTTCGTGCTTGTCTCGAAGGCATCGCCGAGATACCGGATGATGAAGACACTCTCGCAGCTTGGCTCGACGCAGACCCGACCGATGATCCAACCGATGCGACATATCCGCATGTGTTTGAGCAGGCTCTTGACCGTCTCTCGTGTGCTTTCTCAGGAGCTCCTATCCTTGCGCTTGCGTTCCAATTCATACCCGGCATGCTTGCTAGTCATGATTGGCGCCTACGACACGGAGCATTAATGGCGATTGCCTCAATGGGCGAGGGTGGTGCTCGTGTCGTTGAAAGTGAACTCGCCCGAGTTATAGCACTTGTCACAAATGCATTCGGCGATCCGCATCCCCGCGTACGATATGCAGCATGCCAGTGCATTGGTCAATTGTGTACGGACCTTGAGGACGTCATCCAAGAACGACATCACGCAGAGGTTTTTGGTGCGCTACTGAGGACCCTCAACGCTCCAGAGCCGCGCGTACATTCCCATGCAGCAGCAGCTCTTATCAACGTTTGCGAAGGAGTCGCTCATGCAACGCTTCTTCCTTACCTCGACGCTCTTGTCGCTGCACTCCTCCGTTTACTCGAACCTCAAGTTTCTCCCGTTAATGGCAAGGTGAAAAGCTATGTGCAAGAACAAGCCGTTACCACGCTTGCCATGGTTGCTGATGCAAGCGAGGATGACTTTGGGAGGCATTACAAGAGCATTATGCCTCTTCTCATGAACGTCTTGAGAAATGCAGGGAATACGGGTGAACATCGCAAACTCCGATGGAAGGCAATGGAGTGCGCTGGTCTAATTGCAATTGCTGTCGGACGAGAGACATTCAGACCTGATTCGGTGGAGTTCATAGAATTGCTGATGCAGATACAAAGTATGTACAGAGACATATTTCAGAGAAAAAGACTTTGACCTTCAGATTATCGTACAGACAGTCCGGTCGACCCCGCTGATACCATGCTAAATCACTATCTCATCGCAACATGGGCAAAAGTTTGTCAGGCTTTAGGACCCGAATTCGAACCATATCTTCCTATTGTAATGCCTCCCTTATTACACGCAGCTAGTGCAAAGGCCGACGTATCCGTATGGGGTAAGCTTTAGTAAAACATACCTCTTTGCATTATAAGAGAGATTAATGCATTGGCACAGATGACGATGAAGGTGTCCCAGTAGAACGCGAAGGGTGGGAAACAATGTCTCTCGATGGTCAGCAAGTTGGTATTAGGACGAGTGCCATCGAGGAAAAGTGTCAAGCATTCGAGACGCTCGTCGTTTACGTTTCCACGCTTGGAGCACGTTTTGCCCCGTACCTTCCGCAGTCACTAGAGCTCGTCCTTCCATCACTCAAGTTTCTTTTCCACGAGGGTGTAAGGGAAGCATGTGCTGTGTACGTCTGTTTAGCCCATTTTGCGGAAATCCGTATTAACCTTCCCTTCTGCATAATCAGAGTCATACCCGTTTTGTTGGTCTGTGGTAAACAGTCCGGAACACTGACACCGCAGATGTTACATGCCGTCTTCGCTCAGCTCATAAGCGTTGCACGTGCAGAAGCGGACGCTTCCTTCCTAGCTTCTCTCTTCCGATGTATCGCAGATTGTGTGCGTGTTGCTGGCGGCGGGGCAGGGAGCGAACCAGGCACAGCACCCGCAGATGCCTTACCGCAAGACATTCGCGAGGGTATACTCAATGCGGCGAGACACCAATTACAAGAACTTGCAGACAAGCGCAAAGCACGTATGCGTCGTTTTAAGATTGGTGTCGGCTCTGGCGACGAGGGCTCGCCACGCGAAGGCCGTGTGAGCGCAGAAGAAGTGGCAGAGGAGCGCGAGGACGTTGCATTATTAGAAGAGCTGGAGGACTTTGCGTTGGACGATATCGGAAAGCTCTTAAAACTTTTTGATTCTTCGCATCCGTTACTCGTGCGTCCCTTTTCTACTGTGTAAACAGGATTATTATTCACGTCTAGATCACAGGTTGCCGTGAGCAGCGTGAGGGAGCTTGGAATCCGTGGAGATTCGGACGATACAGACTGATAATAATATTGACGTACTATGCTTTGATATTGCTTTCATACCATACTAGCGTAGGCAGGTAGGATACAGTAGACTATGTAATGTGAGATGTAGAATCCTCTTTTAGCATGCTTCTAATTTATTTAATGTGCATTGTGGAAGACGAACGAAGAAGGAACTGAATAGATAACGAGTTCAAGGAAAGGAACAGATAACTTATTGCTACTTTGTACGTACCATAAAAAAATGTGCCTCCTGATCTTAGTCAGGCTTTATTTGCGAGAACTGAATGCACAGCTGGAAAAGTCAAGCTCTAGGCTCACACAACTCGGATTGTAATGATTAGGCACTGTTTGATGACTTGTATAAAATAAATGCCTAATCCAGACCATACATACATGAAGAAATTAAATGTATAAAAGTACAATTGCATGCTTCACCAACTCTGGTAATATTCAAATATTACTCAAACTGGAACTCAGGTGCAAAAAAGTATACAAGAATCTACTTTGCAAATTCGTCCCAGTCTAATATAATGCATTGCTAAGACTATAGGTATAGTGGCTCTAAAACCTGATGATACCAATTTCTTAATAGTATGCAAAGATGCTTCTAATCAGCTGAATACTTTGCCGGACTTTGCATCTATACTCGTGATACATAAGAGAGTAGAGTTAGCCTACCTATGAACCATATTCTCCAATTGTCCAAAGTGTAGACGTGATCCACACAGTGTTGCCATGAGTCAGACTCAGAAGCGGCCTTCAAGTCGAGACAGCAAAAGCAAGCCTCCCAACTTCCAAGAGGAATTAAATGGATTCCAAGCGTCCTACAAGGAACTTGAAGAAGAATGCACTAAGAAGCAACGTAGATTAGGAGCGTTCAGAGGATTCATTAAGCAGATGGACCAGTTTATAGAAGAACATGGTCAATTTTGCACTAGACACTTGGAGGACCGTGATAAGAGAAGCTTCCAAACTGCTGAATTGGATCGAATGACACAAGGAAGAATGACTTTCGGCATTATTGTTCACAATACTTGTCAAGCAAAAAGCAGTAAAATGTACTTTGTACTACTGGTGCAATGTGTGTCTCCACCAATATTTTTCTTTTTACTTGTGTATTTGTGTTAAGATGAGACTACACAAGAGTATGTCTCAGATGATATAAACTACATTACAAGTAATGACAAACAATGATGGAATACCTTCCATCATACATTCTACATCTGAGACATACCTACATAGTATATATAGACTAACTAATCAACAGACAATGAAGCAAGCTGCAAGAGAGCAAGCCAAGTCCACTATCCCCCCTCTTTGTGTGATTCCTCTAAGCCTCTCACATAACCTCTTTCCCCTTTCTTAACAATTCGTCTGCTTATCCAACTACTAGTACACTCCATTCAAGCACATCAATGCTAAGAAAACGAATCTTACTCTAGGTTGTACTACTGACATAACTACCACAATTCTTAATATTCATGTACTGGTCCAAGAAGACAGTTCAAATATTTACCCTCTTCATTTGCTTTAACCAATATACTTTATTGTTACTGGTCTCTTATGCTTGCATTCCACTATTTTGTGGCACGTAAATGACCAGCATCTCCATAGTGCAAATAAATGTCCATTATTTTAAAATTGTTTCTGCAGATATGGCCTATCCAAAACATCCGTGCTCTACCAAGTGTATAAATCTAATTATATATATTTAATATGGTCACGGTCTCTTGATTTCTTAAATTCGGCATGGCCTTTAGTAAGTTCTCTGAGACTAGCTGCATCTTTGTTCTCGATACACTCTTTCGCTTGTTCTCTATCATTCTCTATTTTCTCTTTGTAAGCAACACATTCCTTTTCATACCAAGGAATCGCTTCTTTCCGAACCTCTTTTGATACATCCTCGACACAGCTTTTCATGTTGGCTACTAGTTTCTTAATTCTGTAAAACTTGATTTACTGTGATGAGCTATCTGTTTGCATTGCCTACCAGTTTGTTGCTATGCTATACTGTACAGTACTGTTTCTTCTGCAAGAATGAGTATAGTCAATTAGAATGAATTGCATGATCTTGACTGTGTGGCTAAATGACAAGACTGTTTCGATTGTCTGATTGTGTTTGGTCTGTCCATATAACATTCATTTACACATATACCTAATAGCTTGAGCCGACTATATAGGAAAAGAAAAAGAAGCAAGCGGGAGCCGAAAGATTATTTGTCCTCAATGTCCGGTTCCGTCGTGCGTGCTAATAGGGCAAACGAAACTGAGGATATTGGAAACTCAGTACAGCAGGTAATGATGGGCCATGGCTCTCGACTCTCGCACGCAGGAAAAGGTAATTGAAATGATTCGGAGAAACTTTCCTAGACCTAGAGCAGACTGAGAGTTGCGGGCCAGGAACGCCGGGCGGATGGCAGTCAGGAGTCGAGGATATACGTCTGCAGAGATTACTCGCGACATACACCTGTAGACAAACACAGAAATCGGTAGCAGGGAAAGATGAGACGAAATGTTGTGTTTGATGCAATGTTTTCCTTCCTTGAGAATATTCCGGGGATAAGATGGGAAAAGAGTGAACAGCGCGGATCAAAAATGCGGGGGGTCGCGTGAGCCAGGGTCTTTGCAACCGCCAACTGGCCTCGTCCGTCTGCCAGCCAGACCAGACAGACTCTGTTCTCATGGCTCTGTCTTCGTGTTCTTTTCGCTTTCTTCCAAGACGACAACTGGTCGATCTCTCCCTTGTCGACGTGTCGATGCGAAATAATCGTGTGAATACAGCAATAAAAGATCATTCGGGAATTCATGCACTCAGGCTACTACTATTAGTATTAGTGCCATTCTACCGGGAGCCGGAAGCACTACAGCATCCATCTTGATTTCACGCGGTCCTTCTGCATTCTGCCAGGGGCACACTAGGGCACAAGTTCAGTCCAACTGCGTCCGTCTTGATCCAAGGCTCTCTCGTTCGTACCACCAGTCGTGCTTGCGACGTACCACTCCTAGGACTACCTGCCAGCCCTCTGCTGTCTCTGAAGCGCGTCAGCCACGACTCACCTCTCCTGCTTTCCTGACCGGCAAGCCATCAACCGGAAGCTGTCACTACATAGCATGCCCTCTCCTTTGACGCAGAACGACAGCATCAAGGCGTGTCGTCCCAACCCGGAGGATCGTCTGACAGCCCCGGCTTCTGCGTACGTCGTTGTGCACTGCACGCGTTTCTTCTCTTCCGCACGTCTGGGGGCATCTCAAAATACTAATAATATGCTGTATCCATCGTTCATAGGTCTCATAAATCTGACACGACACGCACCACCGCTACGGCTGCCAGCTCATCTTCTACTTCTCGCTCAGCGCCAACGTCTCCGCCGCCTTCTGGTCCTCTTCCACCTCTGCCCACTCAGGCTTTGTGGTCTGCGCGTCAACCCACTGTAGCACCGACGCAAGTGTCAACTAGTGCTCCACGCAAGTCTGCTGGGGACACGTTAAACAAAACAAGTACTTCTGCGATGGGTGCGGGCATACCAGTGAAAACGAGCGCGTCAGTTCGGTTTCCCTTACTTTAAGAACGTATTAAATGCAGACCTCCATCTCTTCATCTCTTCTACCAAACTGCCTTTCCATCATATCAACGCTCTTTATTCACACTCTTTTCGAGAAATTAATTCCACTCGTTTACATTTTCCTTAACACCGATGTCCCTGCTTACTTCTCTGTCGTTCAGACTTCCCAATTCCATCTCACGGCCCAAACCGCCCATTGGAGCTAAAGAGGAAGTTATCCTCCACGAAACGCCAAACCAGGCTACCGGTCAGGAGTTCGGAGAAAGTGCTTCTGCTTCGTAGGGTTCCTGATTATTTCTGCTGCACGACTGTCAAGCTGAACATATGCGGACTTTGCACAGATATACACAAACATCTTCACATAGTCGTATTCCAGAACAAGTTCCAGCAGCTCCGCTGCCACAGCCAGCAAAATCGGGAATGTTCAAACGTCTCGCAACACGTTTGGCGAGTACACGTTCGTCACCGTCACCTCGCCCTTCGCCTGCCACAACTCCTACCGAAGAAGCAGCAACGGCAAAACCCCTCACAACCCTTCCCACTCAGCACGAATTGCTAACAAAGGAAGATGTGCACGAAACCAGCCTCCCTCCAAATTCAAATTCGAGCCTAACCCCCGCTCTAACACCGGCCCGGACGTCACCGTCTATCCCAGACACTCCGACAAGATCGTCGCAAGTGCCGCCACCGCCAGCGCCGCAACCCCGGCCTCGGCCCCAACAAACCGGCCAGCTCCAGAGTCTCAACGCGCGCCTGGCACTCGCAGTGCGCGCGGAGAAGGAAAAGCGAGCAGAGCGAAAGGCCGAGAAAGCTCGAGAGGAACAGCGTGCGACTGATGCTCGCCGCGCTGCTGCGCTTGCGGAAGTCGGCCTCCTTCCTGCCAGCCGGAGGTATTCTGTCGCGCCGATGTTGCAGAACGGGAAGTCCTTCGATCCTTTTGCAAAAGACGGAATCCAGAAGGATGGATGGAGCGATGAAGGTAGTTATGCCGAAGTAAAGGAGGTTAAGCAGGAAGGAGAGGGCGGGCTAAGTGCTGCGGAGGCAGTCATCCGAGAATGGCGGGTGAGGAACCAGTGCGCAAAGGAAGTGTCATTGAAGGAAGTATCAAAAGGTGACGTACCCCAATCTTCCGAGAATAACGAAGAAAGAGAGGAAACGAAGAACGCGAAGCAGGATAGTACGGCGATAGTCTCACCGTCAAAGAAGGAGGGCGTCTCTGATCGTGATGCCGAGCAAGGGACTACTTACAAGCCTCCTCTTGCTCCAGCAATAGCCGCGTCGCCAAAGAAAGAGGGCATCTCTGATGGCAATGCTTTTTCACCGGTTTCGACAAAGAACGAAAATCCGTATGAGCAGAATTTGAAGGGAGATACCTCAGAGTCAAAGGAGACGGATAAAGCTGCACTTGGTGCATGGCGTTTCCCAGTTGCCACTGCTCCTTCAAGCGCTCCAGCGTCATCTGGTTCGACGACTCCGCGAAGGGAGAACGCGAATGAGCATGATCATCCAGTGTCGCCGACAAGTCCCAGGTCAGTATTGACGACGTCTAACACAATTAAGGCTCAAAGCAACCCCTCATCGCCTCGCTCCGAAGACATACCTCCACCGCCACCGCCGAAGTCCGAGACGCCCAAGGCCAGAGGGAACACAAACGATGAAAAGCCTGTTGCAGCCGCTCAGCGCTCGTCTGATGGAAGAGAAGTGCACCCAGCACCCGTCCCATTGTCGCCTGCACAGATACCTCTTCCCGCTTCCCCTTGTTCCCCTACAACCCCTATAGCATCAGCGTCTTTTCTTGGAGAACGTGCTCGTCCTAGATCCGCGACAGCCCCATCTATGCCATCTACCCCGCAAGTATCGATTTCACGCATTCATAGTCAGAAACAACAAGCAGTGCCTCCCATCCCATCTCAAGCTTTCACATTATCCCCTCCAGCTCTCTCACCAACAACATCAACAAGCGCATCTACAGATAGTGGTTCTGCATTTCCGCAAACACCGACCACATCAAGTCATGGACATAGTCCAGTCCGCGTGCTCGATGCACCACTTGAAGACGAAGAAGATGCTTTACTATCGGAGGAGTCTATATCCTCATTTAGTGGCGCTAACGGCGTTCAGGAAAAGGCAAAATCCCGACCTATAGTGACCGGGGTGAAGGAGTTTGGCGAATTGGCAAATCTGACGTCCGAAGGACACAATGCTGGGTTGGCACTTCCACCGCTACCTCCAGGAGCTCGAGCCCCTGCAATCGGAAGTGTTGTAACGCCGGTCACTGTCGATGGAGCATCTGATAAACGAAAGCGGACCACATTGTTTGGGCGACGGCGTACTACGCAAAACGGTCCTGTGAGTTTCCTACACTTAATTCTTATTCAATATCTATCGTTTCGCGCCTCTTCTGTAGTTTATATCACTACGGGCACCTTGTCTTATCACGTTTACTAACTTTACTCATCTCTTTCATATCCGAACATTACGATCTATTCGGACTGCCACCATCCACCGACACAACCACTCGGTATTTTACCTGTAATTGGCAATAATAAAGCCGATGATTACTGTCCCCGGGAGTACGACTAGCATCACGTCGAAGGCTAACACTAATGGGATCGCTCGAGAGTCAGCAAAGCCGCGTACAGTTTCTTCTCTCACAAACCTAAAACGGACTGTTACGTCTGTAACGGCAGGTCTGGCTCTTGGCAGCGCCACCGGCGCTAGTACGCGGCCCTCGAATAAGACACCATCCGCTCCACCGCCCTCTTCATCATTTGGCAAGAAAACATCGTTCCTAGGTGGTGACCGTGGAGTACAACCAGTACGTGCCTCAACAATGCCTGCAGCGGTGACTGGACCAGGAGTGCCGACGACTCCTCGTTCAAACACTTCCGGCGCCAATTCACTATTCCCTCCCGGCACTGAAGACTCTGTTCAAAACCAGCGTAGTGGGACGGGTGTCGGCCTGCGCGTTCAACCGTTAAACCCGACCATACATTCGAGAGGAAGTATACTCCTCGAAGCGCACGCTATCGAAGACGAGGAGAGCCGCCGACTCAGTGAACTTGCGTTCCTTGACTAAAACTACGTACCAGTCATACTCTTCATATGTGCGCGACTCGCTCCTTTACTTTTGTCGAATTCGCAGCGGACCCTTCCCCCCTCCTTCATTGTTTCCCACAACTCTTGTCTCCCAATTGAGATCTCGCACTTGCATTTACTTGTTGCACGTCATCTGTACAAGACATCTTTCCCTTCCTAATATCTATACCACTCGTTCAACATATCATTGCATTCCAAACAGCACTATTCCGTCGATTCAATATTTTACCTGTCACCCATACAGTTGACACTCTGTCGTTCTTTTTTCTTGTGGAGGATTTGACATACTTAATCAGATTTTGTTGTATTGCCCCAGATAGTATTGCTCTTTCACTGTGTAGTTCTTACTTCTTATATTACACTGTTTGTTTGTTTGATTTACCTCTTCTTTTTCCTCAAGATTTTTCCTGCTTTGCATTTGTTTTTGATTTTTTGCACTCATTGTCATACCTGATGTCTGTGAGTGATATATCTCTTGTAGACAAGACACCGTGACTCTGATAGGATTTGACTTGTAAGAACACCCCCACAAAGTGCTATAGATGAAACTTGAGGACTGTGACGTTGGGGAAATATCACCACTACCAACTTGAGTCTCCACCTGGAAATGTATTTGATGTCGGCCAACAGAGAAACTGATGAGAAAGTACAGTAAGTTGCGCAGTCACCGGCCAACTTTGCAAGATGCTTCTGTAAGCATCCCGACACTATTTCATGAGTTTCATTGCATCTTTTCATTTCGGAGGTTCATCTTACCATTGTATATCTATCTTGCTCCATTTCAAATTTTCAATGCGTAATACGAAGATGTAGCATACGTAATCCATGCGAGCTACAACCAAATCTTGCAGCTGCACTTTCTTGGGTTGGGGGGGGAGTGTCTATCATGTCGCATACGCAAAAGGATATATTTACTGCTGACATAATTTATAAGTATTTCATTTCTCTCTTGATTGAACGCCACAATCTTTTCGGACTGTATGTCCCTCCTCGACCGCCCAGCTAGATTTAACCTCTCCGTGATTTTCACAAGGCACATTGACTTGCTTTATTTTTTAATTGTCCGATATAACCGTTAGCATATTTACCTTTAACTGGTTATTCAATGAATTTCGACCTGTTGATTGCCGTACTTCTGGTTGAGTAATTGGCAGAGCCATCCGCTGCTGTTTCGAAGAATTACGTTGGTGGAGGCGCATGAGATACTCTAAGCCGTTCCTGGTCAGCCGCGGAATACTTCTTCCCTCACAAATCTCAAATTAAATATCACAGGGGGCTTTGGTGCACATGCGGCCCTAAAACAAAATGTCCTCGCCGGAACATGGACAGCTTCTTCGAAGCAAATATTTCCGGCATGAGCTCACTTTCTCCGTCATTGAGTACTGTGATCCTCATGCCGCATAGTAGAGCAGGACAGGGTAGACTGGCGTGTGTAATTATAACTAATGGACCCTACCTGTATTTGATAGGGAATAGATGCCTCGAGGCACACTGCCCTTGGAAATGGGAGGGCCGTTATTCCAATGACCTTGTATTCCTTAGCTAAAGATAAATTGTACCGTGTGTGGGTTGGCTGCGCGAGCACGTTTCTCTCTGTATCCAGGGATGCTAATGGGCCATTCATGATTCGTCTCGAATAGGTTCATTACTCTCTAGAATTTTCCCTATTGGAGATATTCATTCCTATGTGCTTCTTACTTATTCTTACTTACAAACTCCAGATATCCGACAGTATATTCACCAGATTTCCCACATAGTATCCCATCCTGAAACAAGCCCTACTGCGCCACACAGAGGCTCAGAGCTCTCTTTAATGTGTAGGCCTTTAAATTCATAATGCTTTTTCGAGTCCATACAACTCTTGATATATTAGGTGGATCTAATCAGCGCTTTGTTGCGTCGTCCGTGATGATCAATATTCTCTACTGTCAAGTTCTTCAATTTCTATGTCCCTCCAATTATTTAATCCATTCCTTATACTCAATACTTGCTGCCACTGTGTCGACATTTATTACTCCCTCTTCATTAGAAAATGACCCGCCTTTTTTGTTTAGAACCTGTGTTCGTTCGGATATTTGTGTATATTTAGCCCAGATTTCCGTTCCGAAGGCTTGACCATTTCTATTACGTCACTACGTGCACACGACCCTTTTATGCAGATGTGTCGCGGACTTTACGGAGCTTCAAATGGTTCGTTTGTACTTACACTTCCGTTCGTCTCCACAGTTCCCATCCAAGCCGATCACTCAAATAACAAAAGCACTAACCATTTCAGAAGGGGTATAGCCTCATACTTTGACTAGAGAAGGCGAAATGAGGAACATTGTAGTGGCGTTCGTGATGACAAGGAGGCTTGAGTCGTGACAAATTTTATTGACTCGGACGAGCTTATTATGGGATTGTCGTTATGGACTTTCGATCAAAGTCATTGTAACTAAGCTTACCCCTCGTTATTGAAATGTTCAGGCAATAGTACATATCACATAATACTATGATAAGAGCCCGAACAGACAGTGTTTTGTATATCATCACCATACTTATGGTTGAAACACTGCTGAGAACTCACCGGTAAGGGCGTAGATAGCGATGAATTTTATAATTGAAGGTATCTATCATTGGCAGTGCACTGATTTTTATATTCAGAAGAACAAGCACACTGTACTTTTCCGGATATAGCCGATGGTGTGCTTCACGTGCCTGACTTCCTTGTTCATACCTTCGCTCCTTACCTCAATATCGTATGCGCCGTGGTAGCCCTATGAGATTCTAGCTGGGTTCAAATCGATCGTTGCAGGAGCAACGGCCGAAACATTATGGACGTACAAATCAGTCCATAATATTCTTTCTGACTTTACAAGGCTACATTACTAGAGACTAGTCAAAGCCCTTCTTTGTCGAAGATTGTTTCCATCTATTGATATCGACGACATAAAACTGGTCTTTGTTAACTCCTCACCTGGAAGCGGCCCGAAGCGTGCGATTATGTGTACTAATGAACGTGAGGAATCTGAGCATTGCATCACTTCGTAGCTAAAATTACGAAGGAAGCTCAAGTTTAACGAGAAGCATCACCACGGACGGCAGGTCTTCTTCCTGCGTATGCATACTGCTTCTATTTGTTAATCCGACGCTGCAAGCTTTTTACTTCTAAAACTCGATGGCCGTTACAAATCCTCCGCGCTAATACTTCACTTATCTTTAAATCATATTCCTCGGTGTTTTAACCTTTCTCTGACCTGAAAAACCAATAGCAACATGTTCCCAGTCTCATGCTCGAGCTACTCCGAGAACGCCCATATGTGTTCGGATTTCAGTTCGGCGCATCTCTGTCCACTGTTTTGCGCTGAAACATTCCGGTAAACAGTTGTTCTGACCTCACTTCATTATGCATAGAATTGATCTGTCTCTCTGGTATAAATGAGTGGATCAATGACAGTGTTCATGCATACCTTCGAGAAAACAATTCTCGATACTCATATCTGTACAATTCTCTTCGAGGCTGTCTCTTAATATCATCTCTGAGAAGATGTCGTCCGGCAAGACTTCCACGCTGAAGAAGGGACAAGCTTGCACATGCTGCAGGTAAGGATACTCTGTTGTCCGTAGTGTTGTTCTTACACTTACGGATTGTATTGCATCAAGGCGCAGAAAGACAGTATGTCTGCCGTCTTATGATTAAAAGAAGGTCTACTACCACATAATTAGAGATGCGATGGTGCTCGCCCCGTCTGCACTCAATGTGCTACTAACGGGCGCGAGCTTGATTGCGAATACACAGACGGATTCGGGCCTACACGAACCGAAATACTTCAGGAATATTTAGCTCGTCTGCAAAGCAGAGTTCAAGTCCTCGAAACAAGCCATGCGCAGAGGGCATTTCCAAGTATGTCAAGTGTAGCTTGCTTGCGATCCTGGGCTTACCAGGTCCCTGTTTATTTAATATATCTCAGGGACGGGCCAACAGAGTGTTTGTCAAGAATACTGTAGAAAGGGAACCAGCATTACTTACTGGTTTTTAGTATCCGCAGCTGACAGTACAACCATCATCCCACTGGTGGACTTCCGAGTTTCCTCCAGTTCAAGTAGCGAGGCAACTGTAAGCCCTGTATAAACACTAATTTTTATTTGACCCTGAAATAATTTTGGCTTTGTTCTCAGATTCGAGATTTTCCTTCGTCACGAACATCAGGTCGGATGGGCCCTAAACAACAGCCGAGTGTCTACAGCAATGTCTTATGGACCTTCAAGCCCATTGTTTCCACATCCCGCCCTTGTAACTGCAATGTTTCTGTGGGGTGTACACTTCACCCAGTCGGCTTCTACGTCTCCAGAGATTGAACAGGCATTATTTGTACGGGCAACGACGCAGCTGCAAACTCATCAGATTGCCGCCCATTCGCTACGGCGGGGACTACAAGCCGTTCAAGCGGAAATCCTTCTCGCTACTTATCTATTTGCCGTTGGAGGCCGCCCTTTGGAGACAGACTACCATATCAGTGCTGCCGTCAGGTTGGCTGTGGGCTTTGGTATGAACCGCATTTCCCCAGAGCCAGGAGTCGATACTATCGAGGAAGGAGAGCGTATCTCTGTTTTCTGGATGGTATTCCATTTAGATAGGTCATGGGCAATAGCTAATGGAAAGCCCGCGGGCCTACGACTTCATGGGGAGTCCAGAGTTATTGTTACTACGCCATGGCCGAATGCTCCTGAAGATTATTCCCAGGTATGTGGTGTTCCTAGGAGGTAATTGTACCCGCAAATAAAACGTGATTATCATTTAGGGACCTGTTTCTTATTCATCTGACGGAAATACAGAGCCATTGAGGAAATTCCTAGAGGATGAAGGGAAGGCAACGTCTGGGTTTAGCTATCCAGCGCTGGCTGTCAAGGCGGCGTTTCTTTGTGAACGTTCTTCCCAATATGCCGCTCGCCCGACATCCGGTGCGTCCAGTCATAAATCATTGATTCTGCCTCTTTGTTTACCGGATTCCTACTTTCACCGTCTGTCTAGATGAAGAAATTCGACATGCAGATTCTACTATATTTGGTTTTGTCTCCACACTCGCTCCTCTGGACGGCAGTGCATCAGCTGTGCTAAAGGCTCGGTTCATTTCAATCCATGCAATCGCTTACCTTGCATTCATACGCCTCCATGAGCGAAACGCACCTAACGATCATGGAGCATATTCTCGCTGCGTCCAGGCTGCACGTTATATAGCAATGCTCCCTGGTCATCTGACACGAGGCGAAATCTCTGAGATGGAACCTTGCTGTATGGTAAGCCTGTATCCTATCCGATTCCGGTGGCTGTATTAAAAACATTGTTCTGTAGCCTTGTTTTGTAATCTCCAGTAAAGTCCTCATGCGCGAAATTACACGCGTGCGTCAGTTACAAGGCAGCGCCCAGAGTGCCGATTTCACTCCGGTCAATGTTCTGGTAGACGAATTGTCTCGTATAATGCATTGTTTGACGGAACTCGCTCCAATATACCCAGTAATTGGTGAGTATCCCTATCCTCCTACAAACTTATCGATTTCATCTGATTGCCCTGGTTCACGAATATTACAATAGAGTCTCAGCTGGATTCTTTGGAGGACATGCGTTCAGACCTGCAAATTTAAGATTTGATACGGACTTATCGCTGATATAACGTAAATGATCCCCACTCCTAAATGATTGGTAGACAATGTCTTACCTTGGATTAAAGTTAGTAAATAATTATAGGATTCAACTCCTACAACTGTGTCGATTCTTAACATACAAAGATATTGCATAACAAATAAACGATACTGTCTATAGAATCTATCCTCTAAGTACAAATAAAATTGCAAGTCTGGAGGTCCTCAGTAGGCAATTACAAATGCCATTATTAACTAATTGAATGTAATATTACTGAATAAACGTATATGTAGAATTAAGTTCGATACTATCAGTGGCGGTCCGAATCACTGATCGCCCGTAATTTCTAATAGTTTATCGACTTGTTGACCTGGAAGAAGGCGCGTGAGGTCCTCGAATGTTCTTTATTTTAGTTAATTGCCTACTGAATATATCCCCGGTGTCGGATGAGCCTGAACAACGGCGAAGTGCTTCTGTGATCCGGGCAATGCTCGCACGAAGCGAAACAAAGCGGTTGGACGATGTCGGCGATAGCTCACGCCTCTCCGAAATCTGATACATGCGCTGCTCCTCTTGTGCAAAAATTTGCGCAGCAGAAAACCCGAGAACCTAAGAAACAAGAAGTGGTCAGGGTTGGCCAAATACTGCTTCTGAAACTGATAAATAACATACTGCAAGAATAGGGTTGATTGGCGCCGAATCCTCCTCGCCGAACTTCTCTATAATCTGAACGATTTCGGTGGCGTGTACAAGAGCGGAATTGATTGCGCTCATATCTCCGGCGGGCGCTTCGGATGCCTTTACACGATGCAGAGTCAGCATCGACGCGTGGGCAAGCGCATGCACGACCAACAACACTTGTCCCTCTTGCTCATCCACCGAAAGCTGATCAACTGGAGTCAGTCTCCGAGCGAACTGCATTGTAAGACGCGCAATTGACTGGATCTCCGTACGTAGTGATAACCTACTCGAGCTTTTGGATGACAATTCTATCAAAATAAAACAACGTTTCGAGTCACAATCAGCCGTTCTGGCACCGTGTATTTGAAACTCACGGGAGAACCACTGGTGAGAAAGCCTGGTGGCCCGCTCATACACTGCAGATGCCATCACTCGAAAGGTTTCTTGTGATGGGGAGCCATCGTCTCGAACTTTCGGCGGCTCTCCAGATAGAAATCGTTGTATTGTTCTATCACTCTGCGCAGCACCAGAGGGGTTACCACTTAACCGCTCATAGTCGCCTATTTCTAGTGGCCAATCACTATCAATCTGTGTGCCCAGGGCTGCATCATCTGTAAGTACACATGGCACATCAAGCACTGCACTCCAACAACGATCCAGAACGTATACAGCCCAAAATACACGAACGCGTTCTCCATATTCGAGTTCATCCCTCGGCGCGACTAGCTCCAACCTTCCAAACTTCGATCGTGAAGACGACTCACTCGATCCGCGAGAAGACAGTAGCCGTAAGCTGTGCAGCCCAGAACTAACGGCGAGTGAAACCGCGGCGTTTGCGTGATACCGGCCTTCAAGTAATCGACCGAGGCTGAAGAAATACCGTGCCAGTAGCACTTCCGCCTGTATTGCATGTACCCGACGTCGAGCGAGCATCCAATCCTATAAGATGATATGTACCCGTGAGCGTTGACCAGCAAGGGTATTTCGAACGGCTAGAGACTTACTTCTAGTCTGACTTCATTTCCCAAGGCATCTTGTAATGCTAAGATAGATCGCTGAAGGTATAGATTTTCGTATTGCATAAAGTCGTTACATTTTGACAAGTGCAATGCCCATAGGAAAACAGCATGTAGCAGTGCTGGATGAGGCTTGTCCGGATGGTTTGTTGGAAGTCTCAAGTTGGAAAGGAAACGGACAGGACAGAGAGCAAATCCAAGCGCTGGTGCATGTGGCATGAATGTTCCTACGCTTTTTACAATGAAAATATAAAAGCAGAAATTCAGCCGATAAAGAATACCGAGAGCAGGTACTCAAACACATACAGCATGTCGGTGATCTGTGCAGGGGGTTCTTCCGATTCCCACCAAGACGCATTCGGAGGCCTAGGATTCTGAGCACCAGGCGTCCGGGTTGCAATGTATGGATCGTGTAAGCGAACCGACTGAGAAGCAATTCGAGGATCTTCGAGTTCGTGTATACGGGCTTGAAGAAGAGCAACATGCTCTTCGAGCATCTGTGTTCGCGTCCGTCCCTGATTATCGGTATACTCGCAATCATCAGCACGATTTCCTCGTATACACTGAGTGCAATGCGGGCGTTCGCCGTCACATTTCTAAAAAAGGATAACAACAGAAGTTTGAATTTGGGTCCTGCAGTCGAAATCGATTCCAGCATGTTGGAAAGTACTATGACGTACCATTTTACGACGTCTATCGAATTCAAATATCAGAATTATTGCTTTTGCTAGTAGAGTATGCAACAGTTCCTTACCTACAACTAAGACATGCCTTTCCACGTTGAAGGGCACCTTCATAGGGTGCTTGTAGAGGAACCTTGGGAGACATGTTTGAGTATTAAGGAAAGGTAATATACGAGAAGTTATTGTGTACGATGAATGTGCCAAGGGAAGAGGTATATATATTCCATGACGAGTCGAGTCAATAGCGTATTGGTTGGCGCAGTCACCAGTGCAGGCAGACACAGTTCGGAGCTGGACTTACCTAGCAGCTTCGAGTTTCAGTCTCACTAAGCAGCAATGAGATCCCCGAAGCCATCGTACCAATAGTTTCGCTTTTCGAAGAGTTATCGGGATGCAAAACATACAGTGCTGGTTAGACTGCGACAGTGGTGACCATGGCGCTCCAGACAGCGAACGGACTTCACGGGCTCGTGTTCACAAGACATCGGGACATATACAGTCCAATAAGGCTCTGTCTACGAGGAACGGAGAGTCGCGAAAACAGCGTTGATTGTGACCCATCCTTGCGAGTGGAAAGTGCCTCGTTGTTCTGCAACTCCGAAGTCTGGCGAATTGCAATCCAAGGCCAAGGAAGAAGGTTAAGGTTTACGGCATTGACGCGACGCGCCTCAGGTCACGTGTAGACCGTATTTCTGACTAAGGCACGCTGTATTTGCTGACAGACCAAAGCCCAAACAGTGTCGGTAACCTCTCGACATTGCAGAGAGTGACGCCATGTTATTGGAAAATATGACTCGACCGACCAGTGTGGTTTGGAAGACGTGATATGTCGCTTGTCGACCAGGATTATTGTGCAAATCGCGCTCATCGGGCCGAATTCTGTTCAGCGAGATTTGCTACGACGCTGCGCATACATTATTATCTCCGTATTCCAGTACTATTTCCTTCATTGCGCTCAACTGTGTTGCATCGGCGGCTTTCTCCTTCCGAGAAGTTTCATTGATAGATGCGTCCTACTCTCTGACTCGTCCATAGACTCTCTGTCCTCTATTCTCGTGCTCGTGACCAACATCGGAACAGTGTGCGAAATGTGTAGTTGGAGCAGCGGGACCGTCCGGGAAGATAAAGTTAGATCGTAAAAGCCACACTACCACATTTCTCGCGTTCATATCCGAATTCAAACGTCATGGGAAAGGTATAGTGCGTGTCCTTGCTACAAATGGATCCACAGTTCCCTCTAGTAGGTCTGGAGGCACAGTAATCAGTCCAGCCTTGATAATCCATAAAAAAACTGTAAAACACTTTGTGCTTCCCTCGTCACTGCATTTATAGGATCAAGCCACAGACGACGTTCTTATCCTATCCTTCCAGCAAAATTTTCCATCGATGCTATGCTTAAGCCGGACTTGTTTGCACCTAGAACATGATAAAAATACAAAGTTTTAAGTACTCTCTGGAACGGGACTATGTGATACAGTTCTCAGTCTCACATAATACATTATTCTTAACTTTATACAATAACTTATTTCCTCTGGAACCTTCTTTTAAAGAAACGATTTGCATTGAAATTTCAAATTAAAGAATAAACATAGCCCATAGATGGGACGTTGGTTGTGCTTTCGCCATTACGCAACTCAGTAAAAATAGTTCAAGACTGTATTCTCATATCTTCCGTTTTAACATTGCTGAAATATATGGATAAATGGAAAATAATAAAAGTGGGAATGAATGTGGAACATGTCTATATCCTCATCTCAGTCTAGATGACTTGAGACTAAGGCTTGCGAGTGGTGGCTGGTGGATTCCACCCGTTTACTATTAGTATTACTGGATTATGAACTGGTCAGAACTAGGCTCAAAAATATTACAAAACAAAACAATGCTGCATATATCAAAATAGTATCTTTCGATATCTCAATTTCTTCTCCAGTTGCTTCTGGTACAAGTACATCACCTTGACACCACATTTTCCAAACAGATTCCTTACAGTTTTTAGTTAACTCATACAGGCTTCTGGCGTTCATATCCGAGCTCAAATTTCTGCAAAGGAATTTTTACAGAAGGCTTAAGGGATACAGTAATTAACTCGTAACCACAGAAAACTGCAAAACGCTTTGCATTTCTTTGTCATTGTATGTACAGGACCGGGCCAGAAACGAAATCCTTATCCTATCTATAGCTATCCGGCTGGGGCAAATTCTCCGTCAGTATTGTGCTTAACCTCTTCTTCTTTAAGATCTTTTACATTCCAGAGCAAGATAACAGTGCAATATTCGCGAATGTATTCCTGGATCACATATTTGCGCCAATTTCAACCTCATATAATGTATTATAGAACGCCGAGATCAGTAGACTAGTAAGAACTTATTTAAATATGAACGCCAAAACAAGTTATGCTGCACATATCTTTCAACCCTCCGATATACATCTCAATCGATTCTCCAGTTACATCTAGTACAAGTACAGCATCTTTACACTTAATTTTCTTGCAATTAGTCACTACATGCTCACAAATCTCTCATATACAATTCCGAAACCGAATGTCAGCAAAGGCATTTTTGTAGAAGGATTGAAGCTACAGTAATCACTCCACAAAAAACTGCAAAACATTTTGTGTTTCTTTGCCATTACATGTACAGGGATATCAGGCTAGAGACAATCTCCTTATTCTACCTACAGCTATCCGATGACAGGAAAGTCAGGAATTAATTTTGCAACAATGCTGTGCTTAGCCACCTCTCTCCCCCTGACACTCAAGAACAAGATAACAGTATAATGTTTTAAACGTTTTCCCATTTCTGTATCTGTTTGTCATTCTCCTGCTGGGTGAGGCTTGCCTTGCCGTCAACCATGATGACAATAATGTGCCATGTGAGATTGAAACTGGGTAAAAATAGCTGTGATCTGGCTGTGATGCACAGGAATGCGTCAACACATGTTGTACAATAATAAAGCATTACCTTCACACAACATTTTCCAAGTAATTTTCCTGCAATTAGCCACTACATACATACTAACTTAGTACACGTACATGTACTCCAAGCACAAACAACATTCTACGATACGACGACGACACAACTCTGAACGCACTACAGCCAGCACGACAGAAACACCACTGACACACAGGGTAAGAAAAGAAACAGTAACAGGTCAAGAAGCAAGGAAAGGAAAACAATAAAGGGGACAGTCCAGATAAGGCTAACGAAGACAAGCTTCACCAAGCCAACATCTAGAAATTTGGGGTTTTAACCGCTGTCATACACCACACACAAACGAACAGAACATGCGGAGGAAATAACAGCGGTGTAAAGTCCGAAGCAGCCGGCCAGACAGCACTGCTGCTGTATAAGTGAAGAAATTGAACAATGCAACGACAGAAAGGGTGGTAAGTTCAAGGAGCGACTTTGGGATCAAAACCAGGACACAATCTCGTAATGTGATGTGTCTAATCAATACGAACGGGTACGACGGCGACGGCAAGATACCTTTGAACAGAACAAGGACCATTCAAATCGAGTGCGTACCGTTCGGTCAGCTGACCATATCACGAAACAGGCTGACCGGACGTCGAGATGTGGACGCATGCACAGAATGAATGGGCAACAAATAGATAGAATAATCAGGGGATTACAGAATCACAGACCAGACAAACGCAGGCAATGAGAGTGACAAGGGAGACAAGGCAACAGAGCGGAAGAGGATGACACGCATAAATAGCCAGACCAAAAGACATTTAGCAAGGTCTATCGGGTAACGACGTCCGTCGGTCCGTCGGCAGCTGCCTGCGGATAGCGCGGTCAGAACATAAGCGCGTTGAGATGACGTCCGCCTCCTCCACCAACGGAGATTTGTTGCGTCTGCGCTTGACCGTTCCACCCGTTGGTCGGAAGACTGAGGGACAAGCTAGGCCTTCGGCCGAACGCCGCTCCTGCGCTTACACGTGCATCAAACGGACCAGGGCTACCTCCCGTGCTTCCTCCGTGCGCCATGCCCTCTGCACTACCAACAGAGCTCGCATCGTCCAACTCCGGGGTAGTATACATCTGCTGCTGAGATGGTGCCTGTTGCTGCTGTTGCGCAAAGAACGGGTTTCCGCCAAGCGGCGAACCGGCTCCGCCTGCACTCACTGGCGGCGTAAAGTTGGTCGCACCCGCCACGGCGAGTTGCTGTGTCGCCCATTGCTGCTGAGCTTGCTGCCCGAGGAAGAGGCCGATCTGATTTTGACCCTGCGCACCCCATCCATTCATTTTTTCCTGGGCCATCTGCTGTGCGTGCATAGCAAAGTCCGGGTGAACAGGTAAAGCGTGAGATGCTCCGTGCGGAAGACCATTAGGCTCATACATTGTGTTGACACCAGAGGAGAGTGCGGGGTGTGATGGCATGCCGTCAAAGTTCATGCCGCGCGCAAAGCTAAGCTGTTGCTGGCGCTGCTGCTGTTGAAGCGCGCTCATCTGGTTGATCTGACCTGGATTAGGAGCTGAAGGGACAGTTGGTGCTGCCGGACCTTTGAATGCAGGATTCATGCGAACATAGTCTCCATCTCCATCGTCGAAACCATCCTCCTCCTGGTCTTGCATAGAAAGTTCGTACGCTCTGCGCTCTTCCTCGCCCATCTCGCCCAGTCTGTCTCCATCCCATCCCGCCAGACCTCCAGCACCTTCAATGTCTTGAGGACTGATCAAATTGAGAAATTCAGGCGAGCGGGGCGGTTCCTCAACACGTGGAAGACCAGCACGGGCACGCCATTCATTAAGTTCACGGCGCAGGGCATCCGATTCAGCACGGAGAAGACGAAGTTCACGCGACGCAAGTAGGCGCGTGCGGCGTGATTGATGGATGAGAGCAATGCTTGAGTTGACAATTGCGGACTTCGAAGGGCGTCTGACTGTTGCAAGGTTCGGCAAAAGAGCAGCAAGATCCTATTCAATGCTCGTCAGCACATTGCAAATCGAGCACGCAAGCAGCAAAACAACATACGAGGAAACGTCCATTGAGCGTCTCGCGGCGAGCTCGCTCGACAGCATTGTGCGTTGCCCGACGCTCAGCGGTATTTGCGCGCCTGTTTGCCTTGCGTTTGCCTGGAAGAGAGGTGTTGTTGCTTGCTGTACCATTGTTCATCTGTTGCCATGACAAAACGGGTAATCGTCAGTGATCGGCACCGGATAAACATCAATTCCGGACACGTCGAAAGAAGTGTCCGAGAGGGGATAGCGCGCAACAAGAGGAGTAACTACTTACGGTGTTGTCGCCGTCAATAGATGAGCCACCAAAGCCGGGGGACGTTGGTGAAAGTGGAGTCGCTGGCGGGTGCGACGGAGGAGGTGACCCGGCTGTCGAACCGGTCGTGGATGAAGGTGTGTGTGCTTCTTGGAGTGACATGTTTTGCTGTCTTGCTGTCAGTGTTGTTGTCGGGATCAAAAACCAAGTTCAGTGCAGTGTTGGATGTGTTTGAGGTAGAAAATTCGATAAGTTCGGAGTTAATTGCTGAATCTGGGCTTTGCAGTTGGAAAAAGAATCCGAGTCGAGCGAGTGGAGCCGGTACGAGAGATGATGATATGAGTACGATAGTGGTTACAAGTGGGAAAAGGCAGTATGTGAGATTCGTGCAGAGTAGTTCAGAACAGAGGGGTTCGCGATTGCTCAGCGGGACCCGAAGAAGACGGTAGTTGCAAGTGAGATATTGGGGTGAGGTAGGGTGGTAAAAGAGCACAAGATGGACACGCGATTGCTCAGCGGAATCCGGACTAGTGTTCTTTTGGCGTGAAAGAGACTCTTCGACGTGCTATATGGGCGGATGCGGTTGTTGATTGGAAGCTGTTGTAGCAAAAGAGGAGTCGCGAGTAATCTCAGCGAACTCTCAAAAGTTCAAGGAAAGCAAGAGTGTATGCGTCCAGATAACGAGGGAAATGCGATCGGATAGTGAGAAGCCGGCAAGGGTCGCGAGATCTGCTCGTCGGTGGCATCGTTGGTGTCGGTGTTGCGGTCGACGAGCGTCGTTGATGGCAGTGGAAAATCAAAAGAGGACGCGCGATAAGTACCCCACCAAAAAAATCGAGAAAAAAAGAGGAAGAAAATTACGCACTCCAGGCGGTATCCTTGCTGCGGCTGAAGGGTTAGGCGGATGGAAGGGATGGACGGACGAAGAGGGAGAGGACGGGAAAGGAGGAGAGCACGTCGAGAGACCTCAGAACATGAACGGGGGGAAAGTGCCAGGGCAGAACCCATCAGTCCGTCTTCATTGTCTAATATCGCCCCTCGGCATTCCCCGTAACCGTACCCTCAATTGAGCACTCATAGTCACATGACTCCTTTTTGAATGTCCGCTCTCGGCTGCCGGCTATGCACCGCCCGGCTCCTCGCTCTCCTCCCCTAGTCGCTACATCAAAAAAATATTATTTTCTGTCCTCAGTCTGCACTGCTCCGGCCAAACAGCTCATCATCCTCCGTCCGCGCCATCGCTTGTCCCTCCCTCACAACTATCTAATATTCTCCCCTATTCTCGTCCTCTTCCTCTTCCCTTACCTTTGTCCTATTCTCGGTCGCAATATCACAAGTAGCTCCCCCTCGGAGAAACACACCACGTTTCCCGCGCAGACTGCACCATCCTCCCAAACCTGTTTAGGTCTGCGTTCCCAGCTCCTCTCTTCCACCCTGACCTCGAGGTTAGGTCGCCTCTTACCGCCTTGTCCGTCCAAACTCAGAAGCACACAACCTTACTTATCCATCACCTTCTATTCTCTTCCTTTCTCCTATCTCATCGACGTGGCCGTTTGTCTTCCTTCTTATTCAATCACGTTTCTTTCCCAGGCATCTCAACTATGACGCGTATCATTCAACGTCTGCCTTGCCTTGTCTTTTAGTTAACGCTACTCTGTAGCCCTGCCCTGTCTAACCGTGATTGCTGCTCTATAACTATTCAAGTTATCTCCGCACTATCCCGTCCAAGCATAGCTTTCAGCAACTTCCCATATTACATTTACTTTATACACCACTTACAAAATACAACGTCCCAAAGACTTCTATCTCTTCATCAGTAATTTACATTTTACAATTTTTGTTACTTCAGGTCAGGTCCTCGAGGTCAGGGAAGAACGCGTCACGATAAGTCCCGGATCCTCGATTTACCCACACACAGCGTCCCTTCAAGCTTCGCGCGTCTCCTATCAGTGCACAACCCTAGCAAATCGCGTCTCCCAAAATCGCATCTCTCCCCTGTCCAAGAGTGCTCCTTCTGAATCCGAACAAGGCATCAAATCCGCGGTAGCGGCATCGAACCACCTCGGTCTACTCACAACACATGAGACCACACTCTTTGACATCCTCTGATGGGCTCCTTTGATGCAAATCAAAACATGTCTTCTCCAGTTAAGTCATTTAACTTAACTGCACTTCCTTTCTGTATTGTCAGTCGTCTGATCATCAATTCATCATTCATATGCCAGGTCATTTCACACCATTCCATTTCCATCTACAGCTAAGATCAAATCTCATTATCTCATTCCCTAATGTAGTTTTCAATGTATAAAGCATGTCATAATCACGACAATCCGATTTTTTTTCTTCACAGAATTTCAAATTCAAATCGAGTTAATCACATTGGCTCGGTTCTCCGGTGTGCCCGAGTCTTAAGTGGCATTTAACTTTAGCACTAGCTAAGCTTTAAGATAGATACTTACTTAGTCTCGTGAGTGTGTTCGTGTTCTCCTTAAACTAACTTCTCTGGCTAAATTGTGCTCTGTAACCCTTCTTTATTGCATTTCATACAATCTGGAAAGTGGTCACGCACCTACAGTCTACCCCTGGTAAAATTTCAAGTTGCTCCTACAGTTTAGTCTTTTTATGCACGCCTGTATCTGTCAGTTAAACTGAGTAGTCACATTGGTGAGTATCTCCCATATCCTTGGAATCTGAGTCGAATGGCGATAGCATTTCATTCTCCTTAAACTAACTTGTCGTGCTGAAATGTACTCTGTAACCCTCCTTTGTTCAAATTATTGTATTTCACGCTAATCGGACAATGGTCATGCAGGTCTGAGGAAATCTTCAAGATATCCTACGGTTGGACCTTTCCTTCACGTCAGCATCTGTCACTTAGACTGAGCAGTCGCCTTGGTGAGTATCATACTTCGATTTGGAAGTCAAATGGCAGAAGCACCATGATAGTCAGTCAATCGCACACAATCCAAGACTCTACCCAAACATGGCATCCACCTTGCTTTTTCTCCCACACGTCTCATTCAGACACAGAAAATAAATCCCTCACATCTCAATTGTCTCTCGCTTGTCAACACACCTTTCCCTCGCCTCACTTCCTTCAAAAATCACGTTCATGTCTTCAGTTGATCGCATACACTCACCTTCGTCAAGGAGATCGCTTTCACTTTCCAAAGCATGAGGTCCAGGCGTACCTGTGGCGCAACCTAGGCAGGGACGCAGGGAGCGAAATATCAATACCATTTAAAACTTTAATACTAATGCTAAAGAAAACTACCCGCTTGCAAATCTTCTAAGCGCGTGCAAAGGTGCGCTATCACGGATCATTCACGTCTCTCCTGCAAGCTTAGCAACATCCGTTCTCTTCCCTACCTCTCTTTCTTCTGTGGTGACATCTTCGAAGTGGCGATGCATAACTGCTGGAAGAAAGTGGGAGAAAAGGAGGACTTCGAATTGTTCCTGTAGGACTTAGTGTGACTTACAAGTTTTAACACAACGCGGTCATTTACATACTACAAAATACACGTTTCTAATTCACACAACCAGAAACCCATCTCCAACCGTTGTTAACCGCTTAGGCTAAGTCTACCGGCGGAAAGCGCCTTGCCTGGTTCTTCATTGAGACCCAGAGACGTGGATACCCGTATCATTGCAAGCACAGCGCTAATCCGGATTCCGTGATCCTTTACAACGCTTCGCCATCTTAGCACAAACATTTTGATCCCGACATCCGACAATCCATGTGCATCGCATTCGCTTTTCCTCCGCATTACACCTGTACAGTAAGCCAGACTGACTCCTCAATAGTGGCAGCCGAGAACGAGAGCGAGACTGCGAGCGTTGCTATGCTAATATATACAGAAATGCAGAAGGAGTAGTTTCCTTCATTTTATGGTGTGGTAAAATGGTATCCTGCTTTCATTCATGTATATTACGTCTAGTCCTTTGTATACTCTCTCTACAAGTAACAATATACTGTGTCAAGGGAATCCCATGCTTGTTAGCAAAACCATGGTCTGTGTATCTCTGTCAGGAACTTTGATTGCTCTACAAGCTATATACTAAATTTTGTGCAACATGCGACAGCGACGTCTGAATAGGTACTCCAAACAAATACCTCTGCTCTGGAATAGCACTGGGTAATCTATATTTGAATTATTCTCTGTATCAAACCAAGACAAACATCTTTTGAAATTAGCATAAGTATTCTATGAATAAATCACGTCTCGATTATTGTGGAACTCAATATATTTCATTACTGTATGTTTACTGCTTCTATGCTTCCAGCTCGGGATCTATTTATCTAGTTATCTACTTTAATAACTAAGAAGATTCCATTTATATGAGTACTGGGTTAGTGTATGAAGACCATCTGCATCCTTGTCTTTAATACATTTTTCTCCTGGCTTCTCAATTGCTGCTATCAGGTCTCCATATTTGCCATAAGAACTTTTACGATCATCAATGTCGCTTTCCAGAAATGCAATGCATCTATTGATGGAAGATTCAATCCCTTTGATCTCTCTTATTATCCCCTCAGGCCTAGATGAAAGAAGACGCTTCAAACCAGGACAGTATTCGGATCTGGTGATTGTGTCTAAATAATCTTTAATGGATTCCTTGGAACGTTGAAGGTCGAGTAACCATTTCTCATGATTTGACTTTGATTGCTCGAGTGCTTTCTGTGATTCAACCATCCTGTCTTTTGCATCTTTACGATTCTTTAGTGTTTCCTCGAAGGCTTTTTTTCTCTCCCTGAATATAGTGTCTGAAGACTTGCTTGTTTGACTATGGCGGTGATCTTGACTCATGGTAATGTGCTCACTGGTTGGGGCCTGCACTGGACGTAACAAGCAAATCTTCCTGACTGGTCGATCTATATATGCCCCTTCATACTCTGGAATTGAGATAGCAAACATACTGTAAAAAAGTTATCTGTTTCTGGAACTTTTGTGATCTATAGATGATGATGCAGCAAAGTAAAAGGAACTGGGCGAATGAAACGTGAGCAATAGAGCAGGTGATGATTGTTGTATATTGTTTACACAAGCAAAGATGGTCTGAGAGGGCAGGGTTTTCATGCGTTCCTTAACAACCAAGCTAAAGAGTACAAAGTTGCCACGTTCCTTGTGCTCAATACCTATCAACAAACTCAAAGCAATACCTCTACTAAGGATACTTCTCTACTTTGCGCCCACACCTGTCATTTAAACTGAGAAGTGACCTTGGTGAGCCTTTTATCCTATATATCTCGAACCCTCAATCAGATATTAATAGTATCATAAATTATAAGAGTCGACCAACTACACTCTATAGAAGACACTGCCTAAGCATATCATCCATGTCTTATTTTCTCCCATGCATCTCATTCAGACAGGGAAAATACCTGCACACTTATATTGTTACTCTCTCATTAATACATGTTCCCTTGCCTCACTACTTTAAACAGCCATGTTCATGCCTTCTGTTGATCACATACACTAGCCTTTGTCAAGGAGATTGCTTTCCAGCATGAGGTGTGTGTGTGTGTGTGTCTAGTAGTACAATCTAGGCAGGTGCCATGAGTAAATTATCAAACAATATAGTTCAAAACTTACAGTAAATACTATTACTAAAAGAAACCACCCACATGTCAATCTTCTAGGTGCATGCATAGGTGCACTACCACAGATAATTCCTTAAAACAGTGATACATAACTGTTGAAAGAAATTGGGAAAAGGGAAGGCTTTGAACTGTTCCTGTAGGACT